AGTTCGGAGGTACGAGACGCGTCGAAAAGCTTAGATGACAGCTTCACTCCCGTTTTAAAAATTAAAATTAAAATATATAACCAATAATAAGTAAATATTTTTCATTTTATTTTGTTAATATGCCAGAAATGTTACTATGATTTTTTGAATGTTCCTGTTTCCTTTCTTTCAGAACCCTGGTGTGTTCAAGGGCATGATCCAGAAAGTCAACCCCTTCAAGTCTCACACACAGGTTCTGGAAAAACTTCAGATCGTTTTAACAAAAACAACATTTTGTTAAATTTAAAATAATGAAAATACTGAGTGTGTATTGAGTAACCTGACTATAGGGAGTGGCTTTACACAGTTCTTATGGATAAATGATGGTTATCGTTTAACCCTCTGTATTGTTTGTATGACACAGGTGAACATAGAAGAATGCCAGACTGACTCTTCATATAGGACCCAGGTATGAGCTGATGTCAGACTGACAGAAATAACCAGTTTGTCCCAGTTCTATTAACTTACAGATCACACGGCCTTATCTCCCTGATCATCCACAGAGTCCGAGGTCTTTGTTGTCATTTCAACATGCTCTTTACTACGTGCAGTTATTGTATGCAACTAAAAGTCCAAGCATCTTTACATTTGGTCAGCATCCATTAAGTCAACACAAACCAAACCTTTGACTAAGAACAGGATTTAGTAATCAACAGAATCCCAGAGGACTGCGTCCTGGTCCTGCATTATTCTTATTACCCCCCCTCCCCACAGAAACCCATTTTGAAAAAGAAAATTTAAATCTTTTTTAAATTTTCAATTAAGCTCCTTATCCTTTTAATTTCATTTTTTTTTTTTTTTTTTTTACAGTTGGTTGATAGCGACAACTCCTCCAGCTCTGAGAGCTTGGACGACAGCACCATTGAGCATCACGTAAGACCAAAAACAAAAAGACAAATCCACTCAAATTTTTAAAAATTAAATCTTTCTTCAATTTTTTTTTAACCCAAATACAAGTAAATTTAACCAGGTTTCAATATGTCCAGACATTGACAAAGTACTTTCTTTGTTTTTATTTCACTGCTGCTTAAGGGAAAACAAGGTTCTCAGAGGTAAAATATTCAAAGCAAACCTGTGCTTTCAGCTGAAGAACCATTTTCTCTCCTCATTGACTGTACATAACTTTGACACCGTGTCATTCTCCATCCCCCAAACACATTGTTGGTTATGGCCCTGAACCCAACGTACCACTACTACTACTTACCCCTACTTTGTCCTTTCTGATAGTCTACCTGGTATGTTGACTCTAACATGACCTCTGGCCTGAAGACTGCACCAGTGGAGGCGCCAAAGAAACGAACCATGGTAAAATCATCTAACAAACCAGATATTTCAACAAAAAAAAAATTTTTTTTTAAATGATTGTTCTGATATTTCATTGCTTTGTTTTTTTTTTAACTTGCAGACCTTTAGAATAAAGAGGATTTTGCCCAGTGCTCTGTTTGGATCTGGAACAAAAGTATGTAACCTTTAATATGAAAAAGTATGTAACCTTTAATATACCATATATATATATATATATATATATATATATATATATATATAGCGTGTGTATATATATATAGCATA